TGGGTGGATGGATGGGTGGATGGATGGGTGGATGGATGGATGGGTGGATGGATGGGTGGATGGATGGGTGGATGGATGGATGGATGGATGGGTGGATGGATGGGTGGATGGATGGGTGGATGGATGGATGGGTGGATGGATGGATGGGTGGATGGGTGGATGGATGGATGGATGGATGGATGGGTGGATGGATGGGTGGATGGATGGATGGGTGGATGGATGGGTGGATGGATGGATGGATGGATGGGTGGATGGATGGATGCCCAGGCCCTGGCTCACCTGGTAGAGCCTTTCCGCCACCTCCAGCGCCTTCTGCTTCGCGGTCTCCACGGCGTAGTCGGCCGGCGTGGGGAAGTCATCCTTGTTCAGGGTCTCCTTGAACTTGGACGGGATGACCTCGAACCTGAGACCCTGGGAGGAGAGGCCTGGGGTGACGACCCCAACACACACGCTCCCCAGGACCAGGTCCATTGACCCCCCACCCCAGGCTCCCCAGGGGTTAGAGGTCAGTATCCCACGGCCCTGGGGTCATGCTCCTGATTGTAGGCCTGGACCAGGCCACTGGCGGTCCCCAACCTAGGCCTAGACCCAGACCCCTGACCCCTGACCCCAGACCCCAATCCAAGGCCCCGCATCCAAGGCCTAGACCCAGACCCCTGACCCCTGACCCCAATTCAAAGCCCAAATCCAAGGCCTAGACCCAGACCCCTGAGCCCAATCTAAGGCCTAGACCCAGACCCCTGACCCCTGACCCCAGACCCCAATTCAAGGCCCAGACCCAGACCCCTGACCCTAATTCAAGGCCCAAATCCAAGGCCCAGACCCAGACTTCTGATCCCTGACACCTGACCCCAATTCAAGGCCTAAACCCAGACCCCTGAGTCTAATCCAAGGCCCCAAATCCAAGGCCTAGACCCCGACCCCTGACCCCTCACCCCTCACCCCAATCCAAAGGCCCTGAATCCAAGGCCCAGACCCTGACCCCAGACTCCAATTCAAGGCCCCAAATCCAAGGCCTAGATCCAGACCCCTGACCCCTGACCCTAATCCAAGGCTCCAAATCCAAGGCCCAGACCCAGACCCCTGACCCCTGACCCTAATCCAAGGCCCAAATCCAAGGCC